TTTATGGCTGCATAGTATTCCATGGTGTATATGTGCCACATTTTCCTCGTCCAGTCTATCGTCAGTGGGCATTTGGGTTGGTTCCAGGTCTTTACTACTGTAAATCATGCTACTATGAACATACATGCACATGTGTCTTTACAATAGAATGATTTGTAATATTTTGGGTATATACCCAGTAATGGGATTGCTGGGTCAAATGGAATTTCTATTTCTAGGTCCTTGAGGAATCGCCACACTGTCTTCCACAATGGTTGAACTAATTTACACTCTCACCAACAGTATAAAAGTGTTCCTCTTTCTCCACTTCCTCTCTAGCATCTGTTGTCTCCAGATTTTTTAATGATCACCATTCTAACTGGTGTGAGGTGGTATCTCAATGTGGTTTTGATTTGCATTTCTCTAATAATCAGTGATGATGAGCATTTTTTTCATATGTTTGTTGGCCTCATATATGTCTTCTTTTGAAAAGTGTCTGCTCATATCCTGGGCAACAGGATCATTCTAACCCCAATCCTCAGCATCACACAACACACCCGTGGAGCACAGGTACCTCCTGAATCTAAAATGAACATTGAAAAACATAAAATAAAATAAACATTGAAATTATTTTTAAAAGAGGAGAATAAGGAAATAAATTAATGATGATATTTACCTTTTACTATACTTTGGTAAAAAATAATTATGAGTTCAGTTTAAAAATCCCTCTAGATAACAAAAGTATCATTCTGCTTTTAAATGAAAATGGTACATTGGACTAAGTTCTTTTTCATTTGACAGTGACGTTGTTCTTTACACCAATTTCCATCAAATATTGAACCACTTGGGCTTGATTCTTTCCCTCAAGTTATTTTTGGATGATTCCGTGAGATTTGAGAATTGTTGCTGTGATATGTGGGTTTTTCTAAAGAAAATTACAGGAAACCAAAAGAATCTGAGACAAAGCATACATGAACAGGAAACAGAGAAATGGAAATAAATATTTCGTTTTCTGGGAAAACATGCGCCATTATCAATTACATGGAGCTAACCTTCATTTTAAAAATTGATTCCTCCTTCCCCTGTCAGAGAGAGATTATAAAGATTGGTAATATTCCTGTCCTGTTCTGTAGAACTTTCATAGAATTTTCATTTTCTAGTTTGCTTTCTCCAAAGATTTGGAGGCCAGCTAAACTATTCATATTACCAAACTCACGAGGATATGTGTCCGGTCAACTGAGATTCTTGATAAATCTTGTTGTCCAATAAACATCACATACTCTACGATCTGGGTTTAACATATTATCAGACCTTGGAGTCATGGCTCTTTAGATCCCTGGAAGCTGCATTCTGCTGTACGAGTTTGCTCTACCTCCTAATGTAGCTATAATATTGCAGGAGATTTCAATATTGGCCAAAAGAGTAAACTACCTTCCCTTTAGGAGTTCTCGAAACCCTGAAACCTTATGAGACTATGAAGATAACTAGAAACAAGAAGATGACTTTTCTCAGTAGCAAAAATCATTATATATATATCTTTTTTTTTTTTTTTTGAGACGGAGTTTCGCTCTTGTTACCCAGGCTGGAGTGCAATGGCGTGATCTCAGCTCACCGCAACCTTCGCCTCCTGGGTTCAGGCAATTCTCCTGCCTCAGCCTCCTGAGTAGCTGGGATTACAGGCACGCGCCACCATGCCCAGCTAATTTTTGTATTTTTAGTAGAGACGGGGTTTCACCATGTTGACCAGGATGGTCTCGATCTCTTGACCTCGTGATCCACCCGCCTCAGCCTCCCAAAGTGCTGGGATTACAGGCTTGAGCCACCGCGCCAGGCTGATATATATCTTTATAATCCTAATAGCACAACTTACATTGTTATTATATTGCATGGGCCAAGTACTGTTTCATGCTCAAATTAACTCATTTAATTCTCATAAGAACTTATGAGGTAAATACTATTATTATCCCATTTTTAGAGGAGGAGATTGAGGTAGAGAAAGTTGAAATGATTACCTCAATGTCAGAGGATCCAAAGTATCTGCCCATCTTAAGATAATTTGAAAGCACACACTTGCTTTCTGGCATGAAGGACGCACCGCCAAAATTCCACACAAAATTTCTAACAGCCCTGTCCCTTTTTAAAATGTGCAAGAATCTGATCAAGACGTGTGAATACTGATATTGTCAGCACTTGGTAATCTTCAGCTTGATCGTCAGAGTATGATCCCGTAAAAGGCAATCTATTTTAACATGGTAATTGCTCACAGCACAGAAGGATAGCAATTTCAGAAGCAGGATGAGCACTGCAATTAAAGGCTAAGAGGACATGGCTCTCGGCCGATTTAACTGATCATTCCGTAAGAAACTGAAATGAACACAACCAGAGAGAGAGAGCGTATCTCTTACGAGAACATCAGTGAAGTGTCCGTGGCTGTGTAATGTTGGCATTCTCTTCCAAAAATTGGCATAGTCTCTAAAAGGACAGCAAACTGCATATTGACATGCCGAAACCACTAGTTGAGAAATAAAAATAATCCATTATTAAGTAAATCGTTTTATCATTGCTATTTTCACTAATCTAATTGAACAGTCCACTGCTTTTACAAGAAGCAGACATCTCACTCATCTTGAAGTTTAGGACTAATAGCCAAGTAAATAGTTATGAAATACACAGAGAGTAGATTAACCAACAGTATTCACAACACAGTGAATAAATAAACTAATATATATATAGAAACTCAGGCATATATTAGGTTAAATTAAGAAAAAAGAAACACATGAATATCCTATAGAATGAGATTTGAGAAGAGAGAAAACCTAAATATGAAATTAGTTTCCCTCATCATTTTTTTTCTTTTTTTTTTTTTCTTTTTTTTTTTTGAGATAGAGTCTCGCTCCTTTCACCTAAGCTGGAGTACACTGGCATGATCTTGGCTCACTGCAACCTCCAGCTCCCAGGTTCAAGCAATTGTTCCTGCCTTAGGGCCTCCTGAGTAGTTGGGATTAAAGGCACCTGCCACTATATCCAGCTTATTTTTGTACTTTTAGTAGAGACGGGGTTTCTCCATGTTGGCCAGGCTAGTCTTGAACTCCTGACCTTGTGATTCACCAGCCTCGACCTCCCAAAGTGCTGGGATTACAGGCGTGAGCCACTTCACTGTTGCCCAGGCTGGAATGCAGTGGCATGATCTCAGCTCATCACAACCTCCACCTCCTGGGTTCAAGCACGTCTCCTGCCTTAGCCTCCCAAGAAGCCAGGATTACAGGCATGAGCCACCACGCCTGCTAATTTTGTATTTTTAGTAGAGATGAGGTTTCTCCACACTGGTTAGGCTGATCTTGAACTCCCGACCTCAGGTGATCCACCCGCCTTGGCCTCCCAAAGTGCTAGGATTATAGGCATGAGCCACCGTGCCCGGCCAAGATTTATTTTTATAAAAAGAAAAATGATGTTAGTTTTATATCAAGAAATTTGGAAAGAATAAATCGAACAGAACATCCCTTTCACTGTCTGAATTGGATTAGTCTCTGGTTCCCACTTAAGTTTTAAAATCTCTAAAATTAAAGTATCAAATTTAAGTCATGAAACCAGTTTGGTTTTTTGTTTGTTTGGTTGGTTTTTTTGGGGGCCGGGGGGGGTTTGAAACAGAGTGTCACTCTGTCGCCAGGCTGGAGTACAGTGGCTCACTGCAACCTCCATGTCCTGTTTCAAGCGATTATCCTGCCTCAACCTCCCAAGTAGCTGGGACTACAGGCATGCGCCACCACACCCAGCTAATTTTTATATTTTTAGTAGAGATGGGGTTTCACCATGTTGGCCAGGTTGGTCTTCATCTCCTGACATTGTGATCTACCCGCCTCAGCCTCCCAAAGTGCTGGGATTACAGGTGTGAGCCACCGTGCCCAACCAAAACCAGTTTTTAATGTACATTTTCTCCATTCCTGTTTGCCAGTGAATAGACTAGTTGGCCCCAAAGCAAACAAAGTCCAATCTCACAGATCTAAACAAATAGAAAATCAAAATAACTGGAAGGAGCATCATCATCTGGTTATCCAGTCATCATCATAACCAGAGTGAATCAACTGATCCCCAGAATAATCCAAAAGACCAAATAAACAGCTTCTGTTTCAGTTAACAGCACCTCAGTTGGCTGAGCACATCCTAAAGTCCTTCTAAGATGTTTCTAATCTAGGTATGTGAGCCTGGCTTCCAACATACCTCAGAGACATAGAAATGTCCTACAATAATCTTCCATAGTCATGTCTTGAATACTGATTCTTGCAATATAGCATATGTTTACTTCCTCTGTCATAAAAAAAAAAATGGAAATGTCTCAATCTCATCTAAAGACAGACCCTTCCAGCTGTGTATACTGAGTGCCCCCACAGAGCAAACAAAACCCGGGATTTGCCATCAGGAGAACAGGGACAACTCTCAACTCAGTCTTTTCCAAGCCTTGCTAAAAGCAAGTCACTGTACCACATGTCATCATCTGATGGGGGCAGAAATGAGAGAGGAAGGGATAAATAGAAAAGTAGAAGCAACATAAAATGTAAGGTATTATTGTTGTTACAATGCAGAGTGAAGCCAGGAGCACCCCGCTGTCATGGCACAGAGAGCCACGGCAGAGGCCCACGGGAATGTGGGGTGGGTATCAATAGATGTCCTGTGTGCAAAGTGAGCCCATTCTTTTCCATTCATGATTGGCATCAGGAACCATGAATGGTCCTTCTTAACCCTGAAGAACGAGTATTAAGTTTTGAAGTCCCTGCTGCAGAAATGAGGCTATGGTGATGCCTTGGTAAAATGGCTCTTAACCAAGAATGGTTCTTCAGGGTTAAGAAATAGAAGGTACACTTTGGGAGGCCAAGATGGGCAAATCACCAGCCTGGCCAACATGGTGAAACCCCATCTCTACCAAAAATACAAAAATTAGCCAGGCAGTGGTGTTGTGTGCCTGGAATCCCAGCTACTTGGAAGGCAGAGGCAGGAGAATCGCTCAAACTCAGGAGGCAGAAGCTGCAGTGAGCTGAGATCACACCACTGCACTCCAGCCTAGGCAACACAGTGAGACTCTGCCTAAAAAAAAAAAAAAAAAAAGACGGCAGCTCACATGTTTACATTTTTCCAGAACCCTAGTGCCTGCAATCCTGGAGCATGTGGCCAGAATAGGTCATCTGGCACCGCCAAGGGTTCACCTCTAACTCCTGAGGTCATTATGGGAGCAGAAGGTTGACATTCTCAATCACCATTGGAGAAAGGATGCCCCTAAAGGTAAAACAGTACCCAATACATCATAAATCCTACATCCACTTTTAAGGCAGGTGATTTGAATTCTCAGCAGTAACTTCATCTCCAGGAGTTGCCACTTACAAATCTCAGAGTTAGCCATATACAGTAATGTGGGGAAAAAAAAAAAAAACACCTTTCACAAAAAAGCACTATTTTAGAAAAAGAATGTATTCTGCTTAGTTTTATGAACTTCTTTTCTAGAACCTACCTAGTTACTATTTTTGTCTAGACAGAGATTTGGTCGTTTCAATCACACGCACACATGCAATGTCTCCTTTTTTGGGATGCTCCTCCATCTAAAAAGGCAGTGGAATTCCAGAGGTTACTAAATATATTCTGGCTTTTTCATGGCATGCAAGAATAAAATAGTGCTCTCTTTTCATCCCTTTTTGTCTTTTTAGGTAAAAGTATTTTTCAGAAAGGAATTTTCTAAGATCCCTTAGTACATGTTTGGAGTGGAGCCCTGTTCACGTTCACTTCTACAAATCTCATACCAGAGAGATCTAACACAGCCTCACTCCTATGTGTAGCTTCCATCAGTTTCAGTGCCAGAGAGGCCCAAGGGCCCCCTCGCGCAGCTGAGTATGTAACCTCCTGAGTCCACAACTTCACTTCCCCGAGTGAAGGGAAGAATGGAACTGAAGAAAAGAATGGAAATTCAATCGGTACCAGCAGACTGTCAGTTCCTCCAGTAGCAAACAATAAATGCAACCGAGGAAGTTCTGGTGAACCAATCAAAAGGGGGGCTTTGTTCTGAACTTGGCGGAGACTGTCTTGTGCCTTGTAAATGTCAGTGTGTGTACGTGTGAGCGTCTGACATTACTCAGCAGCACATACCAAAGGCCAGGAATTTGGCAGAGCTAGGCTAATTACAATGCCTAAAAATATTCTGTTTTATCAAAATCTATTCTGATGCCTTTTAGCATGTGGGCAAAATGCTAGAGCAGCAGGCTCTTTAGGAAGCGGAAATTCTGAGAGGCATTCCAAATATCCAAAACAACACAACCTCATTGTGTAAGAGGTAACCCTTCAGCTTAAATTCTTGTCGTTTGTCTATTTTTATATCAACAGAATTTTTTTTTGTAAACCATGTAAGGCAATGATTTCTCATTTGTAAACATTTATATAAATGTAACCTAATTTTGTTCAACAAATAATTATTGAGAGCCTATTATACACAAGGTACTTTATTGGGCTTAACAGGGACTATAAGGTCAAATAAATAATTGTTCTTATTTTTAATGTGCCTGTAACAAGTAAAGCATTAAGACCTTTCCTGAGAATCAACTTCTTTGGGCAAGGCAAATCCTGATCCAGGCTTTAGAAGACACAAGAAATAAGAGCTTGGGGGGAAGGGACAAGGGAGGAATTCATTTTCTGCTAAGGACTAGCAAAGGCTTCTTGGGGGTGGTGGTATTTTGATGTGGGCCTTTCAGAGTAGGTAGAATTGGCCAAGCAGAGCTGAGGAAAGCTCTAGGCAGAGGGAGCAGCACGGATGCGTGCAGAGATGGCTAGTCCAGGGCAGTAGAATTCACATGAGGTCTTCAGAGGTCTTCATCATCACCAGGGATAGGCTTTTTCTAAAATATGAAGGCTAATAGCCCCTAGAAAATGCACTGCAGGGAGGTAGACTCTAAACAAAAGGGAGGATATCATTTCTGTGAAACTCCCAAAGCCACAAGAGTGATGAAGGGAGGCAAGGCTTAATCCTCATTTGTTGATGTTAAAAATATGTGTGATCATCACACACATGTCCACACAAACACACTCTAGGCACACTACCTCATGGCAATTCTTTCTTTTTCAGCAACTCAAGTATTCTTGGTCCTGGATTTTAGTTTAGGTATCTGCCACCCTATTACAGATTGACAAAGAAGCTGCAATTTATGTTTCTACCTTAGAGTTTGTGGGAGTAAATACAAGAGGTTTGACGTCTATCTTCAGTAGTAAGAGATTTAGAAGATTTGCTCAGGGATCACCTTTATTTTTACCTGTAAATTGATAATTAAAGAATAATTATCTGGCAATTGTGAGGAAGGCTGATTGCCAAGTTATGACACTACCAGATAGAGCCAGCCAGGCGCTATTGCATAGCCATTCATGAACAAACAGTAACTCAGTGCTCACTGTCTACACAGGAATCAGGAATAAGGGGATAAAAATTGTGTCTGGGAGATGCCTAATAGGATGGAAATAAGAGAAATGGGGCTGGGTGCGGTGGCTCACGCCTGTAATCCCAGCACTTTGGGAGGCTGAGGCGGGTGGATCACAAGGTCAAGAGATCGAGACCATCCTGGTCAACATGGTGAAACCCCGTCTCTACTAAAAATACAAAAAATTAGCTGGGCATGGTGGTGCGTGCCTGTGATCCCAGCTACTCAGGAGGCTGAGGCAGGAGAATTTCCTGAACCCAGGAGGCGGAGGTTGTGGTGAGCCGAGATCGCGCCATTGCACTCCAGCCTGGGTAATGAGCGAAACTCGGTCTCAAAAAAAAAAAAAAAGAGAAACGCCATTTTTGTATGTGAGTGAACAGTACTGCTCAATCTACTGATGGAATGGATAAGAAGAGAAGAGATAGAAATAAAGGATATATGCTACACAAAAGTTATATTGAACCAAACATTAAAATATATGTGTGAGCCCAATTTCCATATTTCTAAGGCCAGAACCGTAGCAACTGAAGTCAAGTAACTTCTGATCATCAGCAGCACAGTTTTCATGAGTGTTCTCCATAACTCAAGAAGACAGACACAAGGCCACTTCTGGCATTGGGTTCATTACCAGTGGACATAGATATACTTTGTTTTTCCGAGAAACAGGTGAGTTGTTCAACCATGAATGACCTGTGAGCTTTCCATCTGTCTACCCTGGGGCCACCTAATGTCACAACCAACTGACCTTAGCCAACTAGCCAACAGCACCACTGGTGGCTAAACCATGTAGTGGCTTACCTTCTAATCTCTTCCTCACTGTGCCTCCCTACAGAGGCAGATCATGAATATACCATGTGCCCAGTTCTTCCGTCTTTCCCCACCCACTAGCCATTTACTGTCACTTCAGGCAGCCTTTTTCCACACTGCACTCTCTACTTCATTCCATGCAGAAAATGATCTCAGGGAATTCTCCATCCATTCCAGCTATAAATCAAAATTTCACTTATGTTATTCTTTAGCTCCTGAGTTTCACCTTGTGTTGCAAAACACATTAAATATGTATCATTTCACTTGATACTCCAAACAACCTTGTGAGACATATATCATTTATCACAATTTACAGAGAAGACAAGTGCCTCGTGTCAGAGAGTTTAGCTAGTAAGTAAAAGAACAGGTCTGCAAACCAAGGCCTCTTGATTCCAAAACACTTTGTCCTTCTAGGGTGAAACAATAATACTAACGGTCCATCTACTATAAATAGGAAAGGAGAATTTTTACATTTTGACATGAAATTAACATAAGAAACCAAAACTTCCAATAGCAATGTTCTGTGAGAATATTCCTCAGACGTTTCCCTCAGCATCTAGACAATGTTCGGACTTAGCTTTTTCTCAAGACAGGTATCTAAGATTGATGTAAGCAATGCTATTTTCTACTTACAGTAAGTAATTCACTTAATAACTTTTGTTCTATAATTCACTGAAAAAAAGTTTCATCATGTTTTAAATGGAATTGCCTAGATAATATTACTTTGAATTCCATTACACATACTACTATTCTTGCATTAATTTATTCAGCAAATGCCTATTAAATATTTTCTGTAGTAAAGATGCTGTACCATACAGAATTAGGAAGATCAAATTATGCCAGCACACGCTAAGTCAATCTATTTATGAAGTGTCATTTATGCTTAATTTAGGTATCATATAAGTGATTCAAACTAAATGACAGGAATGGAGAGAACCCAGCTATGGTTAAATTGCTTGAATAAATAATAAATCCAGCTGGCACATTTTTATGTATGTATAAGAATACTTCATACCATGGGAGCAGAATGGAGGAAAATATGAAAGAAAAAAAAACTTAGTTTGTTTCCTTAAAGAAATATATCTTAGATTTTCTCATTCCTGCCTGCCTCATTCCCCCATCTGCTGAACAGAATCAATGATAGCAGCAGCCCAGATCCCAGTGGACCCTCTGGCCAAATGCAGCTGCATGAGTGAGCCCAGGTGAAGCCAACACAGGAATTCCCCTGCCAACATACAGATTTGTTAGTTTTAAATTGTTTAAATTTGTTATTGTTAAATCATTGTTCTCTCAGATGAGAAGTGCAAGATAGTTTGTTACACAATAAATAGCAGATACAACAAAATGGAGGAAATTCCCTGGAGATTGTAGGGCCAGAGGAAAGGACTGAGTTGGTCAGGTGCATTAGGGCAAGAGAGTAGATGATATTGACTAGGATAAGAGTTAAGCGTAAGGCCAAGAGGGGTTTACATGAAGGAGTGCTAGGAGGGCACTTCTGCAGCAGCAGAAAGAGTTTGTTCAGGAGCTTTTCCTGAGGAAGCAAGCAGAGGAAATATGGCAGATGTGGCTATGCATTATGAATGAATTTCTCCATTTCGTCATTTTCTGAGTAAACTGAGTAAAGATCTCAATGGCTTTCAACTGTTTATTATTAATGACAATTTGCTTTGAGATTCATTTTAAATATGTGTTCTCAGTAATCTTTTTACTTTAGGGGCAGAGGAAGAAGTATAATGGATGATTTTCTTCTCAGCCATATGGAAGAGTTAGACAAATAAACTATTAAGATTCTAAGAAAATGGAAGGTTAAATACAGCTAGATT